AATATTATTTACACTCAAAACCATGAAAAATACAAATCAAATCCATAAATGTCTTTGTTTTTCAACATTTCTTAATTAATAGTCAATCCTTTTATTAATTCATTGATCCGATGATTGAGTTTATAATTAGATTATGTAATAATTTTTCATTTTTGCCGTTAATCTAATCACAGAATTATTATAATAATTAAATTTTCGCACTTGTGTTTTGACGTTAAGTTATGGGATGTTTTGTTTGCAAAAAATTATATTTCTCTTGTTTTAGAGATCAATAAATTCCGGCATTTAGTTCGCAATAAGTGGATACACTATACAGAGGTTTACCGGTTATAGTGAACCAAAACCGTACGTTAAAGCGATTGTTGTGTGTATTTTCGGATCACAATTCAGACCAATAATGAAATTATTAATTAATGTCTCTTCAGTTGATATCCAATTAAAACATTCATTTTTATTATAATTATCAAAACATATGTCAGTAATTATTATTACATTATTTGCTTTATTTTGTGTGTATTTTTCTTTCCAGTAATGATTGGCATATAATCTTCGGTCAGTATATAAATAACTCGTTCAAAAAAGTCCAATGATATTGTTTGATGGTTACAATGAGTGATAAAATCAATGCCATTACAAAACCAAATCATAATAATGTCGGCAATTACTAATTAATTAAACAAACTATCGTTTTATACAAATTAATTAAATTAAAAAGTGTAACAAATAAATTGTTAGTTTCTCAGCACAAAAAAATATGGTAATAATAATAATAGTTATAAATCATTACAAATTAAATTACAAATAATTAATTAAATCAATTAATTCTTCACTCAATTGTTCGTTAAATATATATTTATATAAAAACACATCATTATATTCACAGACACCATATATATAAGTGGATATGACTTTCCACCCTGATCATCATGATCATTTTTCATTGCTGTTATACATCATAACCACCGGTCGATTACCATCACAAGAGCATCGGATCCAATAAAATCGTCTCAAATTAATTCAATAATAATAAAATTATATCAAAAAACACCACAAATCCTATGAACACAAAGAGTTAATCCGTCGACGAAATCAATCACTCATTAATCCAATAAAACAATCGCCAAACAAAACCCGTGTTTTATAATAACATAATCTTTTTGGTGACAATCGCTTCCAACGCGTGAAGTATTCTTCGACAGTCAATATGTCATCGCATTTCTAAACCACTAATTATTGTCCATTAAAATCGTGTCCAACATTAAAACCACATCCCTGTCCACACACATAGAGACACACATCACTCGCACAGCACATCCCATTCACTTCAGCGGATCGGCCAGTGGTGTGGCGGCAGGTATGGGTGTGGGCGCTGTCTTAGCGATGCCACCGCCGGTGCTGGTAGTGGTGTCTTCGCTGTGGTCGCTATCATCGACAGCCGCTTCTTCGGCGGTCTCCTCGACCAGCTTATCACAGTCCACGTCCTTCCTCTCGAGTCCCAACGGGCGGAGCACCAGAAACGACAATATATCGGACAGGGATATGATGCCGATCACGTGATCCTCGCTGTCCACCACCACTATCCTATGCACCTAATAAAACAAACATGGTTAATATATGTGTGTTTAGCAAGTTTGTTTTTGTTTGGTGTGATGCACATACTTCAGCCTGGACAATTTTCTCTAGTATCTGGTGCAGCGTATCATTCATTGTGCATTTGATCACACGCTCCGACTGGTCCCTGTGCTCCAGCGCTTTCTTCACCGTAATGTCCAGATTATTGTACGTCTTGTCAGCGGCTAAATGCTGTCGCCATTAGTATTGTTTTGGGAGAAAGTAAATAAGGTAACTTTTAACTGGATTGTACTGTGGATTATTAAATAAATTAAATAATAATAGACCTGTTTGTGTTAAAACAAAAATAATATAGCTTATTTTATTACTACTGTTAATACTAGATCGTAACTGCTTAGCATATATGGTAAACAATGTTGTTTGTGATAATGCATTGATAATTATAAATCTTATTAATATGGGTAAAAACAATAATGGTTAATCAATTCTCAATGCCTAGATACGAATATTATAATTATAATGTTGAATTGATTAATCGCTGTTTATAATGACAATCAATGGCATTGAGAGACTACTGAATACTGTACTGAATATATAATTAATAAATTCAATAGTGATTTGCTATACAACCATGATTTTTATACCAACAAAATTTAATTATCAATAACAAGCTCAACAAAAACATAATGCTGTTGAATAAAACATGGTCTGTATTTCTGTATAATATAAATTAACCGCTCGATAGCTCCCAATCAAACACTACAACAACAACATTAAAAAAAACTTAATTTATAAATCCGTGTATAAAATACTGACCAAAAATCAATACAACAGATAAAACTTGAAAACATAATCCAATAACTAATCATTGCATTCACACAATACAGTACACCATCGCTATAGAAAACACTACAATACATACAATGACATCGAACTTTGCATAAACGTCCACCACTTTGGACCGTTTGTCAACGACGGGCAGTGCGGACACCCGGCGCTCAATGAACTGATGCAGAGCCAGTATGAGTGGTGTGTTGGTTGTGGTGACCGCGATGTTGTCGTAGGTGCCGATCATCAGCTCTTTGAGCTGTTTATTCAGATACGACGGCATTGGAAGTCGATTGTAGTACTGTTAGTACGAAATCACCACAGATTGATCCAAGCGATGGGGTTGATAGAGTTGATGGTGGTAGACAACAACCATGATAATAAAAGTGCGTGTGTGTTGTTGGGCCATTATCATCATGAGACACATAGATATAGGTAAATATAAATTGATTGGTGTTATAAATTTACGCTCATTAAAAATAAAATGCAATTATCAATGAAAATATTCTTCGAGAGAGAAAGTAAGCCATACATAGAGGAAGAGGTATTTGAGAATTCGTTTGTGGGTCAGTATGTATAATACATTGCCGGTGTCCGGGTCTATGACCGGCAGCCGGTGCACCTTCCGGTGGATCAGCAGTTTAATGGCGTTGAATAGACTGCAAATAGACCAGAGAAATACGTGGTAAATATATTTGTGACAAATTGTGATAGTGTTTTATATGCGTGTTTATACTGACCTCTCGTCCGGACCGATACTGACTAGTGGTTGGGCTTCTTCTTTGAGCACATCTGCGGCACAGATAAGTATCACATATTAGTTAATATTAGTTAAGATATTATGTGCAATACAATAGTTAATTCAAATGTTCAAATATCTTAATTTTAAATAATTATGATAAAATTTTAATGAATTAAAATTTGTGCCTGGTCAAGTTTAGGGTTAGTTAAATAAGAGTGGGTGAATTACCATTAAAAGGAACTAAGTTAGTAATTATTGTATATTTCAATAAATTAATAGCAATTATTTATCAATTATTTATAAGAATGACAGACAAAATGGGAAATTAAATTTTCATCAAAACATATTAAATACATCATGATTTCTACTAATAATGCACTTAATGTATAGCGTGTACTGTAGTTGTTCTTGAATAATTACCGTTTTAATTTGGAATAAATAAAGTTAATTAAAGCTATAAATTAGCGCAGAGTAAATTATATCTGAAAAATTACATTCATAAATTCCTAAATTGCTTTTTAATACACAGATATTCCCTACAGTGAACACATTAGTTAGAAAATAATTACCTGGCTAAAATATTTACAAAATATATTTTCCTATAAGGTAAATATAATCACGATATCTGTGTAATCAAAACTTTATATAACAATATTATATTTAATGTGTACGTCAAATGTCCGTAAAGTGTTCATGATCATTCTCAATGCAAATAACAATGGTTATGAATAGTATACAAAATTGCATTTCGATATACCATTAATGTAATAAATAGTTGTCATTAACACAAACACTGGTGACTATTGTGTTGGAAATTGTATTGATCTCAAGCCGTAAATATCAAGGAGAAAACTACTCGTATAAGAAATCTACTCTCTCTCTCTCTCTCTCTCTCTCTCTCTCTCGAAGAATATTTTCATTGATAATTGCATTTTATTTTTAATGAGCGTAAATTTATAACACCAATCAATTTATATTTACCTATATCTATGTGTCTCATGATGATAATGG